ATATCAGAACTGAAATTATTTAGTATTTCTAAATTTGCACATTGAGCTTTCAAGGTAAACGTTTGTTTTCTGATTTGCTGGTTTTGTTTATTATAAACGCACATAAAGGAAACAGAGCTTTATAGTGAAATGGAAGACATCGAATTCAATCTTGGAAGATGGTTGTTGGGCCACTGGATGGAGGCCATCCTTTCCTATTGATAAAGATCTCTTCCTATGACATTCATACACCATCAAAGTAATGAATTACACTTTATTTATTTGTGCAGACAGATTTCTTGCACGTACTACAGCAGCATTTATTTATTATGCAGAAAAACTGAGATGTGCCGCTGAAATTGCCCTTTTCTTTTATTAAACGGGATTAGATTTGTGGTTAAGCAACTTTACACCGTCAGAAAGAGGATTTTTGCTCTTGTTAAAGATCTGGAAGCAGGAAACAGGATGTACTAAACAAGAGATTTTGCTCTCTGCTGGATAATACCGACACTTTTTCTTAATTACCTCTGATATCTTTGGTATTCGTGTGACTGAAAATGTTTTACCGGCTGAGGATATAAGCTGTGACAACATAAAATCCACTTCTATCATTTGGACTCCAAAGTGCAAAATTAAGGAGGGTTGACTATATGGCTGGAAAGGCTTTGTATTGACACAGCTTTTGCTGACACAGCTTTTGCTGCACATGCTCAGATTGCCTAATCTAACACTGGCAAATGGACAACTGTGACTGGCAGCTAACATGTGACTGGTGCAGCACAGACAGGGCCCCCTGACACTTCACTGAACGTCTCTCAAATCCAGCCTGTGCTCCGTGTAATGCACAGAAAACAAACCAGCTGGCTGCTGGTCAAAGTGCAAAACATGGTCGACAGGGAGACATTTAAGATGATTACTTCTTCTTCTTTTTTAAAAAACACACTGTAGTACAAAGAGGGTACAAGAGAGACAATTCCATAGGAATTTAAGATGGTTTTCACACCTGTTCCATTGTCATTTATCTGTACAGACCTTTCACCTCCCCAGCATCACAAACATGGTAAGGAGATGCAGGGTTACCCACTTTAATGAGACTCATGATTTCTCATATTTAAAAAACAAACACACAAAATCCCTTGGTTCACAGGTGATAGTGGAAAACCTGGAGCTCTGAGCTTTGATGGAGGCTTAAGTATTTAGTTCTTAGATGTTTGTGTGGATTCGAGAAACTCTTTCGCTGCAGTCGACAGATTCTGCACCAGCTGTCTGAGCACAATCTGCTGCTCTTTGGCCCAGGATAGGCCGTCGTCCACTGCGGCGTTTATCGGCAGACAGAAAGCTTCCTTTTGCAGGTCAGTCAGGCGACAGACAGCGGCGACTCCGGCCAATCCCACGAGCAGCAGGAGGAGGAGCTTGAAGATCAGACCAATGACAGAACGGCGAGGTTTAGGCTTAGACTCCACAGCGACCTTTTTATCTGCTGTAACGAAACACATGTTTGATATCAGAGTGACTCGTCAAACCAGAAATAAAAGATTTT